TTTTTTCCCTAAAGCCTGCCTAAACTAAAAATTTTCAGATCTCTTGAAGGCGCCAAGGGGTGAGAAACAGGAGACTTACAGTCTTCAAGATGCTGGCTTGGAAGCCAGGATGTCTTGTTCTCTGGGATCTTGAATGGAGCGATTGTTCCCGGGGGCTCAGATCCCACCCCCCACCCCCATTTATGCTCCTCTAGACGTTTAGCAAAGCCCTTGATGCCAGCTGGGGGAGGAGGGGAGGCCCACTCTCCTGGCCAGCAAGCTCTACAGATCTCGACAACCTGCTTAGGATTTCTCTAATGGGAGCCCTGCGAGGTAGTCCAGGCGGGAGGGAATAACCACAATAAAGCTTTTATCTTTACAGGTGGCCCAATGGAACCCCCCAAATTTAGGCTGCTAAATCATCATCATCATCATAATAGTTGGAAGGGATCTCGAATAGAATAGAATAGAATAGAATAGAATAGAATAGAATAGAATAGAATAGAATAGAATAGAATAGAATAGAATATGGAATGGAATAGAATAGAATAGAATAGAATAGAATAGAATAGAATAGAATAGAATAGAATAGAATGAAATTAGAATAGAATAAAATAGAATAGAATGAAATTAGAATAGAATGAAATTAGAATAGAATAGAATAGAATATGGAATGGAATAGAATAGAATATGGAATGGAATAGAATAGAATAGAATTAGAATAGAATAAAATAGAATAGAATAGAATGAAATTAGAATAGAATAAAATAGAATAGAATGAAATTAGAATAGAATAGAATAGAATAGAATAGAATAGAATAGAATAGCAGGCTTGGAAGGGACCTTGGAGGTCATCTAGTCCAACCCCCTGTTCAGGCAGGAAACCCTATACCAGTGATGGTGAACCTTTTAGAGACCGAGTGCCCAAACTGCAACCCGAAACCACTTATGCGTCGTCGGGTGCCGGGTAGGTGTGGCCCATTGGGTGGGCATGGCTGCAGTAACAGCAGACTGAGTGGGACTAAAAAGTTCAATTAATCAATTCCAACTTTGCAAGATTTTTTTTTTCCCGTGAGAAGTTGAAATGGACTGATTGATTGAACCTTTTTTTTTTTTCCACACAGCGGCGGAGGCCTAAAGCAAAAAGGTTTTATAGAACCCAGCTGAAGGCCTAGGACTGGGGCGACGGCACGCGCGCCCACAGAGAGAGCTCTGAGTGCCGCCTCTGGCACCCGTGCCATAGCTTCGCCACCACTGCCCTATACCATTTCGGACAAACGGCTGCCCAGTCTCTTCTTAAAAACTTCCAGTGAGAGAGAGGGAGAGAAAAAGAGAGAGAGGGAGAGAAAGAGAGGGAGGGAGAGAAAGAGAGAGAAAGAGGGAGAGAGAGAAATAAAAAAGAGAGGGAGAGAGAGAAAAAAGAGAGGGGGAGAGAAAGAGAGAGAAAGAGGGAGAGAGAGAAAGAAAGAGATGGAGGGAGAGGGAGAGAAAGAGGGGGAGAGAGAAAGAGGGGGGAGAGAGGGAGAGAGACAGAAAGAGAAAGAGAGCAAGAGAGATAGAGGGGGAGAGAGAAAGAGAGGGAGAGAGAGAGAAAGAGAGAGATGCTGATTGGATTCCATTATTGCCTTAATTGTACTGCTGGTTAAATTGTGCAGACACAAAAAAGCATGGTGCAAAAACCACAAAGCTTTTCCGCAGCTTCAGAGACACAGCCTGAGTTATCTAGAAACCTCTTGGGGGGAATCGCCCAATTCTTGGAAGAAAAAAAAAACCAGCCAGAAAAATGAATAATGTATGGCTGGTGCCGCACTTTGCCTTTTCGCAAATTGTATTTACTGATTATGTTCAATATTCTTTTGCTGATCACTCTGGGGAGGCTGGCTGAGAACCGAAGTGAGACCGTCTGGGCTGCCGCTTTGTGTTGCGCTGCCCAGTTGTCAATTTCGGAAATATGTCTCCTTCTACCGTGAACGAGACACGGGTTCAAGGATAGCGGGATAATGCAGAGTAGAAGCAACGTCAGAAGGACCAGCTCAATTTTATTGTACAGGTAATCCTTGGCTTACAGCCAATCATCAGGAGATGGTGAGTTCTAGTCCCGCCTTAGTCATGAAAGCCGGTTGAGTAACTTTGGGCCAATCACCAGGAGACGGTGAGTTCTAGTCCCGCCTTAGGCCTGAAAGCTGGCTGGATCACTTTGGCCCAATCACCAGGAGACAGTGAGTTCTAGTCCCGCCTTAGGCATGAAAGCCAGCTGGGCGACTTTGGGCCAATCACCTGGAGACTGGGAGTTCTAGTCCCGCCTTAGGCATGAAAGCTGGCTGGGCGACTTTGGACCAATCACCAGGAGACGGTGAGTTCTAGTCCCGCCTTAGGCATGAAAGCCAGCTGGGTGACTTTGGGCCAATCACCAGGAGATTGGGAGTTCTAGTCCCGCCTTAGGCCTGAAAGCTGGCTGGGTCACTTTGGCCCAATCACCAGGAGACTGCGAGTTCTAGTCCCGCCTTAGGCATGAAAGCCAGCTGGGTGACTTTGGGCCAATCACCAGGAGACTGGGAGTTCTAGTCCCGCCTTAGGCATGAAAGCTGGCTGGGCGACTTTGGGCCAATCACCAGGAGACGGTGAGTTCTAGTCCCGCCTTAGGCATGAAAGCCAGCTGGGTGACTTTGGGCCAATCACCAGGAGATTGGGAGTTCTAGTCCCGCCTTAGGCCTGAAAGCTGGCTGGGTCACTTTGGCCCAATCACCAGGAGACTGCAAGTTCTAGTCCCGCCTTAGGCCTGAAAGCTGGCTGGGCGACTTTGGACCAATCACCAGGAGATGGTGAGTTCTAGTCCCGCCTTAGGCATGACAGCCAGCTGAGTAGGTGACTTTGGGCCAGTCCCTCCCTTTCACCCAGCCCACCTCACAGGGTTGATGTGCTGGGAAGATAGGCGGAGGAAGGAGCATTCGACATATTCACTGCCTTGAGTTATTTTCCAAAAATGCAGGTAGTCCTCAACGGCCGCAGCTGAGCCCAAAATCTCTGTTGCTACCGTGAGACATTTGTGAAGCCAGTTTTGCCCCGTTTTACGACCTTTCTTGCTAAGCGAATCGCTGCAGTTCTTAAGTTAGCAACACGGTTTTAAATGAACCGGGCTTCCCTCTTGATTTGCTCAGCAGAAGGTCACAAAAAGGGATCACGTGACCTCCCAAGGACACCGCGCCCGTCATAACTACGAGTCGATTGCCAAGCAGCAGAATTTGGATCCTGTGACCGCAACGGTCGTAAGTGTGAAAAACAAATCGTGTCTCTTTTTTCAGCGCCGTTGCAACTTTGAACCGTCGCTAAACGAAGTGCTGTTGAGAACTAGAATAACAATAAATAAATAGAATAACACAGTTATGACGGCCACCGTCATAAGTACGAGCCAGTTGCATCCGAACTTTGACCAGGTGGCCACGGGGAGGCTGCCACAGCCGTATGTGTGAGCAACGGCCCTAATTCCCTTTTTTTCCAGTGCCATTGTAACTTGGAACCGTCACTAAACGAATTGTCGTAAGTCGAGGACTTTCCCGTCATCAAGGCAGGATGCAAATCAGTAAACAAGGAGGATCCAATTTCCCTAGAAGCAGACTTACCGTCAGCGTTGCGGATTCCTCCTCTCTCTGTCTGCCTCTTTCAACTCCCGCCAGGTTACAGATTCGATTCCCGTCTCTGGGTCTGCCAGCCGCCTCTTCGGATGTTCTGGTTGAGGAATTGCAGGCTTTTAAGTCTGCTGGCATGCCTTTCTGTGGGTACGGAAAGAACAAAAAACACAGATACTTTCAAATCCATCTTATAAGGAAGGCACTCCTTTCAAAATGGGAAAGAAGGGGGGGGGAATTAAATTGAGCAGAAACCGACGAAGTTCCTTAATCAACTTTTCATCTGTTTTTAACGACATTTGATCCAATTCTGTCAGTTCTTTGTAAAATCCCATTGTTTTCACGTCTTTTTCATCACCCTGACCCCAACCCAAACCCTAACCCCCCCCCCAACCCTGATCCCATTCTATCCCTAATCCTATTGAGACTCTAGAACAGTGGTTCTCAACCTTTCTAATGCTGCGACCCCATAATACAGTTCCCCAGGTTGTGGTGACCTCCAACCACTTATACATCACCGGGTGCCAGGGGCGTGGCCAGAGAAAAGGGAGGAAAAATGGCGGACAGCCTTGTTTGGCGACCCCCGTGAAATGGTCGTTTGACCCCAAATGGGGTCCCGACTCACAGGTTGAGAACCACTGCTCTAGAAAGAGTACAGAGAAGAGCAACAAAGATGATCAGGGGACTGGAGGCTAAAATATATAAGGAACGGTTGCTAGAATTGGGAATGTCTAGTTTAACGAAGAGAAGGACGAGGGGGGACAGAATAGCAGTCTTCCAGTATCTCAGGGGCTGCCCCAAAGAAGAGGGAGTCAAGCTATTCTCCAAAGCACCTGAAGGCAGGACAAGAAGCAACGGATGGAAACTCATCAAGGAGAGAAGCAACCTAGAACTAAGGAGAAACTTCCTGACAGTGAGAACAATTAATCAGTGGAACAGCCTGCCTCCAGAAGCAGTAAATGCTCCAACACTGTAAGTTTTTAAGAAGAAACTGGACAGCCATTTGTCCAAAATGGTGTAGGGTTTCCTGCCTGAACAGGGGGTTGGATTAGATGACCTCCAAGGTCCCTTCCAACTTTACTACTATTACTATTACTATAAAATCTAATAAAACATTTTAAAAAAAGAAAAAAATTACAATACCCGAATGGCTTTCAACGATGGAAGCGTTTGCTTCCCCAAATTTAATTAACGACGATCAAGTTGTGGCTTGTAAAGACATTTTGGGCAAGGAAGCAAAATTGAAAGACAGACAAGAGTTACAAAAACAAGGTATTGATTTGGCGCGGTGGCCATACCTGCCAATTCCAACGAGAGATGAAAAAGATGTGAAAACAACGGGATTTGTATAAAGGAGTTGCAGGCTTTTAATGCTTCTCCTTCTTTCCTTGGAAGATCTGCTCAAAGGGAGGCACGAGGAGATGAAGCCGGATCCCTTCCTACGCAAGAGCCCCTCCCTGGAGTCACTCAGCAAGCCCCCCACTATGACCTTTGGGGGCCGGATGTTCACCTCCACGCCCAGCGGCTTAAAACCACCCAGCAAACTCAGGTGAGTCAGGCAGATAAGATACTTTTATTGTCATTTTTTTTTTAACTGGGGGCACGCTGGCACACCTCAAAAATGAATTTCTGCTGCCTGCTCTCAAAAGCGTGCACATGCACGACGCACATATAAGCATGCCACATGCAATGTATGTATATACCTACACCCTTACATATAAATAAATGGAAAAAGTCCAGAGAAGAGCAGCTAAAGATGGTCAAAAGCCTGGAGACTAAAACATATAAAGAACGGCTGCAGGACTTGGATTTGGCTAGTCCAGGGATAGGCAACCTTGGCTCTTTTATGCCTCGTGGACTTCAACTCCCAGAATTCCTGAGCCAGCCACGCTGAGGGAAAAGGGAGAGGTTTCCAAGCTGAGTTGTGCTGACTCAGGAATTCTGGGAGTTGAAGTCTGCGAGTCATAAAGCGGCCTAGGCCAGGGATAGGCAACCTTGGCTCTTTTATGACTCGTGGACTTCAACTCCCAGAATTCCTGAGCCAGCCACGCTGAGGGGAAAGGGAGAGGTTTCCAAGCTGAGCCATGGATGGCTCAGGAATTCTGGGAGTTGAAGTCCATGAGTCATGAGGCGGCCATAGTTCCCCCATGCTGGCTCAGGAATTCTGGGAGTTGAAGTCCACGAGTCATGAAGGGAGCCAGAGCTCCCCCATGCTGGCTCAGGAATTCTGGGAGTTGAAGTCCACGAGTCATGAAGGGAGCCATAGCTCCCCCATGCTGGCTCAGGAATTCTGGGAGTTGAAGTCCACCAATCATAAAAGAGCCAAGGCTGCCTACCCCTGAGCGAGGCTAAAGAAAAGAAGAAATAGGGGAGACATGATAGCAGAGTTCCAGTATCTGGGGAGCTGCCACAAAGAGGAGGGGGTCGTGTTATTCTTCAAAGCCACCTGAAGGCAGGACGAGAAACAAGGGTTGGAAACTGATCAAGGAGAGAAGCAACCTGGCATTAAGGAGAAACTTCCTAACAGTGAGGACAATTCACCAGTGGAACTCCTTGCCTCCAGAAGTTGTAAGTGCTCCCTCACTGTAGGTCTTCACGAAGAGATTAGACAGCCACTTGTCTGGATTGGTAAAGATGCTTGAGCAGGGGGTTGGACTAGAACCCGGGTCCCCAACCCCCAGTCTGTAGACTGGTACCGGGCCGCGGCACGCCAGCAACCGGTCCACACAAACAAGCAAACCCCCATCCACGGGATGCAGGCAATACATAAATCCACGCACTCTCCGGTCAGCGGAAAAACCTCTCTCCACGGAACCGGTCCCTGGTGCCCAAAAGGTTGGGGACCTTTTATCAGACATGGTATAGGATCTCTTGCATGAGCAGGGGGTTGGACTAGATGACCTCCAGGGTCCCTCCCAACTCTGTCATTCTGTTCTTCTTCTGGCTTTTAGTGTGGAGAGGAAGGATCCCCTGGCTGCGCTGGCCAGGGAATATGGCGGCTCAAAGCGGAACGCGCTCTTGAAATGGTGTCAGAAGAAAGCCGAGGGCTACCCGGTGAGTAAATGGTTATTTGTCGTGTCCTTTTTGAAACGGTCTCCCTTTTTTACGTCTTGGGAGCGAAAGGATTTGCGCTGAGGATGCTCCTCACACTGGAGGCCCCGCGTCTGCTGAGATTCCCAACTCGGGGTGATCTCTGCGGGGATCCCGCATCGGAAATCCTCAAGGGGGGGCTGGGCAGGTTTTGAGCCAAGCAAGCGGGCTGGCTGGGGCACTGGAGGTGATTGGTCACCTTCTAGCCAATCGGCCGTCTGCACAGCCAGTTGGCAGCGTCCGGGGCCTATGCATAGAAGACCCTGAGAGAGTCCATCGCCACGTCTGTGCAAGGAGGGGCGATTCTGCCTGCAAAGATGGGGGGGGAAAGGGTGAAAGGGAAGGGAAGGAAGGGATGGGAAGAGGGAGGGAGGAAAGGAAGGAGGAAAGGGAGGGATGGAGGACAGAAAAGGAAGGAAGGAAAGGAAGGAAGGGAGGAAGGAAAGAAGAAGTGAGGGAAAGGAAAGGAAGGGGAGGGAGAAAGGGATGGAGGGAGGAAAGGGAGGAAGGAAGGAAGAAAAGGAGGAAGAAAGTAAAGAGGGAGGGAGGGAGGAAGAAGGGAAGGAAAGGAAGGGGAAGGAGAAAGGAAGGGAGGAAGGAAGGGAAGGAAAGAAAGGAGGGGAGGGAAGGGAGAAAGGAAGGGAGGGAGGGAAAGAGGAAAGGGAGGAAGGAAGAGAAGGAGGAAGGAAGTAAAGAGGGAGGGAAGGGATGGAGGAAGGAAGGAAGGAAGTAAAGAGGAAGGGAGGAAAGGGAGGAAGGGAAGGGAAGGAAAGAAAGGAGGGAAGGGGGAAAGGAAGGGAGGGAGGGAAAGAGGAAAGGGAGGAAGGAAAAGGAGGAAGAAAGTAAAGAGGGAGGGAGGAAGGAAGGAAGAAGGGAAGGAAAGGAAGGGGAGAAAGGAAGGGAGGGAGGGAGGAAGGAAGGAAGAAGGGAAGGAAAGAAAGGAGGGGAGGGGAGGGAGAAAGGAAGGGAGGGAGGGAGGGAAAGAGGAAAGGGAGGAAGGAAGAGGAGGAAGGAAGTAGAGAGGGAGGGAGGAAGGAAGGACAGTTACCTCTATCCCTGGGGAGGTCCCTCATAGCTTAAAACGGTCAGCAAACGACCGTCATAATTTGAGGATCACTGGACCCGTTGCAGCCAAAATTGAAGCTATCAGTAAATTTCAGCAAAAGACCAATTTGTTTTTTTCCTGCTCTTTCCGGTTTTTCTAACCCAGAACGAAACCGCCTTGCCTCGGGGTTTGTGAGATTTCACACACCCAGGCCCGGTGCCGTAAGCCATCCCCCGGGTTGTGCCAAGTTTGTGCATGACAAACTTCACACACACACATGTGGGCGCGCGCACAGACACGCACACAGAACCAAGAAATTAAAATAAACCTTTGGGATCAAAGGAGAGCCAAAGAGTATTTTTGCTTCCTTTTCAATTTTATTTTCGGCTGCCGAAGGTATTTCCGCCGGACGGTCTTCACAAAAAAAGGCATTTTGTGATTGTTGGCTCGGCTTGGCCAAAGGCATTTTTTTTTTCCAGGCTGCTCTCTTCCGGATTGTGTTATCCTTGGAGCAAAAAGGGTTTTGTGTCTCTGACTGGGTCTTTGGAAGGGGGCGGGAGGGTGGGAGGGACTTCCGGCAGGGTATTTGGGGAGGGGGGGAACCGCAGAAGCTCCCTTCCACGAAAACCCCCCTAAAACGTCGCTTGGAGGAAGGGGGGGCTTTCCTAAGCTGAAAGCGTCAAACTCAGCCCGTCTCAAACCCCGTCCATGATTCTCAAATTACAACTGTTCGTTTAATTGATATAATGATGATGATGATGATGATGATGATGATGATGAAGAAGGAGAAGGAGAAGAAGAAGAAGAAGAAGAAGAAGAAGAAGAAGAAGAAGAAGAAGAAGAAGAAGAAGAAGAAGAAGAAGAAGAAGAAGAAGAAGAAGAAGAAGAAGAAGAAGAAGAAGAAGAACAACAACAACAACAACAACAACAACAACAACAACATTTTACAAGGCCTTGGGAAGGCCACACTTGGAATAACTGCACCCAGTTTTGGTCACCACGATGTAAAAAAGATGGTGGGACTCTGGAAAGAGTGCAGAGAAGAGCAACAAAGAGGATCAGGGGACTGGAGGCTAAAACATATAAGGAACAGTTGCTGGAATTGGGGATGTCTACTTTAATGAAGAGAAGGACGAGGGGGGACAGGATAGCAGCCTTCCAGTATCTCAGGGGCTGCCCCAAAGAAGAGGCAGTCAAGCTATTCTCCAGAGCACCTGAAGGCAGGAGAAGAAGCAACGGATGGAAACTAACCAAAGAGAGAAGCAACCTGGAATTAAGGAGAAATTTCCTGACAGTTAGATCAATTAACCAGTGGAACTCCTTGCCTCCAGAAGCTGTGAATCCTCCAACACTGGAAGTTTTTAAGAAGAGACTGGACAGCCATTTGTCCGAAATGGTATAGGGTTTCCTGCCTGAGCAGGGGGTTGGACCCGATGACCTCTAAGGTCCCTTCCAACTTTATTGTTGTTGTTGTTATTATTATTATATATAATTTTATAGGAGGAGAAGAAGAAGAAGAAGAAGAAGAAGAAGAAGAAGAAGAAGAAGAAGAAGAAGAAGAAGAAGAAGAAGAAGAAGAAGAAGAAGAAGAAGAAGAAGAAGAAGAAGAAATTGGAAAGAACCTTGGAGGTCATCTAGTCCAACCCCCTCCCGCCCATGCAGGAAACCCTAGCAACTGTTCAAAGTGGCGACAGACCTGAAAAAAGTGACTTAGGAACCCGTCCTCACACTTACGACCCTCGCAGTGTCCCCATGGTCACATGATCCAACTTTAAGCGCTTGCAATTGGCATGTATTTACAACGGTTGCAGCCTCCCGGGGGTCACCTGACCCCCAATTAGCGACCTTCCCAGGTGGCTTCTGACGAGCACGGTTGGTGGGGGAAGGTGGCTTCGCTTATCGACCTTGTGATTTACTTAACAACTGCAATGATTCACTTAACAACCTTGGCAAAAAGTTCGTAAAATGGGGCACGTCCTGGTTTTAACAACCGCTTCATTTAACGGTGGAAATTCTGGGACCAGAATTTCCCAGTGGTAGTTGTACATTGAGGACTACATGTACTTGAATTTTTAAGCCCCCCCCCCCAACTCCCTTCCTTCCTTCCTTCCTTCCTTCCTTCCTTCCTTCCTTCCTTCATTTACTTTTTTCTTCCTTTCTTCCTTTCTTTTTCCTTTCTTCCTTTTTTCCTTCCTTCTTTCCTTCCTTCCTTTATTTATTTCATTTCTTTCTTCCTTTCTTTCTTCCTTCCTTTATTTTCCTTCCTTCCTTCCTTCTTTTATTTATTTTCCTTCCTTTCTTCCTTTCTTTCTTCCTTCCTTTATTTATTTTCCTTCCTTTCTTTCTTCCTTCGTTCCTTTATTTATTTTTTCCTTCCTTTCTTCCTTTCTTTTTTTTCCCTTCCTTCCTTCCTTCCTTCCTTCCTTTCTTTCTTTCTTTCTCCATCCCTACTTCCTTCCATTCATTCATTCATTTACCTTTTTCTTCCTTCCTTTCTTCCTTTCTTTTTCCTTTCTTCCTTTTTTTCCTTCCTTCTTTCCTTCTTTCCTTCCTTCCTTTATTTATTTTCCTTCATTTCTTTCTTCCTTTCTTTCTTCCTTCCTTTATTTATTTTCCTTCCTTCCTTCCTTCCTTCTTTTATTTATTTTCCTTCCTTTCTTCCTTTCTTTCTTCCTTCCTTTATTTATTTTCCTTCCTTTCTTTCTTCCTTCGTTCCTTTATTTTTTCCTTCCTTTCTTTCTTTTTTTTCCCTTCCTTCCTTCCTTCCTTCCTTCCTTCCTTCCTTCCTTCCTTCCTTCCTTCCTTTCTTTCTTTCTTTCTCCATCCCTACTTCCTTCCATTCATTCATTCATTCATTGACTCAATCGATTTATTGGTCACCCGTCTCATAACAAAATGACTCTGGGGAGCAAATTGCATTGACCCCACCCAGCTTTGCACCACTTCCGGAGCAGGGCGCCTTCCAGATGGGCTGGGAGGGAGGGGACAGCTCCCCGAATTTACAACCGGTGGGAGAAGCTACATCCTTGAGCAAGTGACCCCTCCTTCCGTTGCCTCCTTCTGGACATGCCTGAAATGCCCTGCAAGGGAAGGGTTAGGGTTGGGTCCAGGGACCCTCCTCCAACACAAACACCTCCCCTGGGGTCTGACCGGACCCCCGCCCCAGCTGCTTTGAGGCTCCTTCCCCTCCATAAATCTTTCCACGTTTTATTTATTTGTTCATTGCATGTCTGTAGCTGCCCATCTCCACAAGGGGTATCTTATATTCCCTCCAAGAAAATTATTTCGTTTGATCCTGGAGAGAAGAGATCTGCCAAAAAATGATGGAGGGGTGTTTCCACCATCTCCCTAGAAATCTTTCTTTTGTACGACTGTAACCGGGGCGGGGGGGGGGAGAGGAATTAGCAGCCCCTTCGCTCTGGATCACTGGATCACATTTGGTTGCATTCCACCTCTCTCATCCCGTGTGGCTCAGTCTCGGGAGATGGAAGAGGGGTGGGCTTCCACTCCCAGAATCCCCCAGCCAGCATGATTTAAGTGGGGTGGGCTTCCACTCCCAGAATTCCTCAGCCAGCCTGCATTAAGAGGGGTGGACTTCCACTCCCAGAATCCCCCAGTCAGGATGCTTTAAGAGGGGTGGGATTCCACTCCCAGAATCCCCCAGCCTGCATGCTTTAAGAAGGATTGTCTTCTACTCCCAGAATCCCCCAGCCAGCCTGCTTTAAGAGGAGTGGGCTTCCACTCCCAGAATCCCCCAGCCAGCCTACTTTAAGAGGGGTGGACTTCAACTCCCAGAATCCCCCAGCCAGAATTCTGGCCAGAGAATTCTGGGAGGGAGGGGGGAAGGAAGGAAGGAGATGAAGGGAGGAAGAAAGAGAGAGGAAGAAAGAGAAAATGGAAAGAAGGAGATAAAGGGGAG